ATTTTTCAGGGTTTGAGAAGGTTTTCAATGGTAGCAAAAGTTACACTAAGTCAGAAAACTCATCATGAAAACTATTTATCCTGGTGCTCAAGACAGAAATCAAGAGAGATTCCCTGTGAGGGGCGCAACTTGTAAGCACATATGTGTCCAGGTGTGCAGCACACACCTTTAAAACCAGCAGTTGGGAGGAAGAGGCAGGCAGATCTCTGTGAGTTCCTGCCTGGGTGCTGTACAGAGAGAGCTCCAGAACAGCCAGGGCTACATAAATAGATTCTGGTTGTTTTTGCTTTTGTTTTTTAAAGAGAATAGCACAAGTAGCTACAGAGCCATTTTGTGGAAAGGAGTAACTCAGAGATGAGGAGAGCAGGCCCTGGTGCAGGTGGTGGGAAGGAATGCCATTCCTCTAAAGATAACTACATGATGAAGCATGGAAGTCTAGAGTCCAGGGAGCTGCACTGAGACAGGGCTTGCCCAGCGCAGCACAGCAGAGGGACACAATTCCTTCCTTGTCTCCTTTATTTTCCCTGATGGCGTGAGATATCACCAAGCAATGGAATGTTCTTTGAGTGTATAACAACTGAAGTATTAGAATGTTGTCTATCTAGTATCAGAAATAGAAGAAATCAAAAGGTGTTGACAAGTGTGTGGAGGATTGGGCCTCTTCAAACTTTAAAAAATTTAAAATTGTTTATATATTTTATTTCATGTACATGATTGTTTTGACTGCACATATCTATGTACACCTATTATGTTTTTTATGCAATTATTTTGCCTGTATGTATATATGTATGTACAACACATGCCCAGGGATGCCAGAAGAGGTCATTGGATGTCTTGGCACGCGAATTATAGGTGGTTGTGAGCTGCTATGTGGATGGTGGGAACTGAGCCCAGGTGCCCTCAAGAGCTGTGTGTGCTCTTAAGAGCTGAGCCATCTCTCTAGCCCCAGAAACTGGTACTCTTACACAGCAATGGGAATGTGATGAAAAGCAGGTGTGCAGATCATTACAAAGACTCCTCAAAAATGTAAAAGTAAAGGGACATTATGACTTGGTAGCCATATCTCAGGATATTTGTTCAAGATCATTGAAATCGAAGTATTTTATAATTTACATCTTTTATTTTTAATCATCCCCATTTATTGAATGTAGTGACTTGAATCTATGAAGTCCCCTTAAGCATATCATGCACTCATGTACTTATATGATATTTGTTCTTCCACAGCCCTTCCCCTTGTTCTTACAGACAATCTATCAGATTTGAAATTCCTGTGTAAAATTTTGGGTTTCCAATGACAACACTTGCTTGATAATTTGTCTTTTTCAATTTGGTTTATTTTATTCAACATGATAATCACATATGCCCCTGTTTTTTTTAGCAAATGACATGGTTGAAATCCATATCCTAGAGCGATATTGACACTTCTAAGTTTATGCCTATCCCATTGTGAACTGATAAGATGTGATAAAGAAAATATGACAGAAAAGCCACTGTTATGAATGTTTCCATCCAAGTAATGTTTATAAAAGTCAGACAGCAAAGGAGAGAAAAGACCCTTGGTTTATGGGAGCTGAGGTGGAGGAACTAGGAAGGTGGCAACCATTGGGTGTTAACTTTCAATTATTCCAGCTAGGAACTCTCCATTGATTGGCTGTTCACCAACATGCTAGTGTTACCAATGCAGGGCACCACGTTGAGCATTTGAAAGTCTATTGATTCTGTGGATTTTTCATTAAGTAATTTATCAAAATAAAATGATAGACAATATGGAATGATGATAGCACAGAGTTTATTAAAATTGCTTGCTTCCAGGGACACAACTCATAAGTGAGCAGAAAGAAGAAAACAGTACACAAAAATCTGGGGAAATTCAGAATAAAATCCAGTTGAGAAAATAAGTGGTTAAATACAGTTATTGTTGGGGAAGCATTTTGTTAAGTTATTTGGTGAGAGATCTAAAGATCTTGGCTCAGAACTTAAACTGATTCCAGACCTTCACATGAGCCCCTATGAAGATGGCAAAAGATCCATAATCTTGGATAAGAGGAAAGTAAAGTTGAGGGACTCCATCCTTCCTCAATGCATTTCGAACACGTAAGTAGGAATTTACATTGGTCAGGTTTCCTGGTGAGAACATGAAGGTGGTCAGCAAGGGTTGAGATGTGGCTTTGTGCTGCTAGGTCATCCCAGAGCATGGCAGTGCAGACGTTCCTTTGTGGAGCTGGTCAGCAGCAGCAGGGCTGGCAGCAGGGTGTGCTGCAGCTGATGCTCACACAGGTTGGTTGAAAAGAGGTGGTCTTGCAGCAGGTGGTTTCACAGCAAGTTGGTTGACAGTTGATCTTTATGGAGCTGGGCTGGCAGCAGCTGGGCACACAGCAGCAGGGCGGGCAGCAGCTGGGTTCACAGCAGCAGGGCTGGCAGCAGGGTGGGCTGCAAGCAATGGTCACACAATTTGTTTTGCAACAGGTATTCTTGCAGCAACTGGTTTCACAGCAAGCTGGTTGACAGCTGATCTTTATGGAGCTGGGCTGGCAGCAGCTGGGCACACAGCAGCAGGGCTGGCAGCAGGTAGGCACACAGCAGCAGGGCTGGCAGCAGGGTGTACTGCAGCAGATACTCACACAGGTTGGCTTGCAACAGGTGGTCTTGCAGCATGTGCTTTCAGAGCAGGCTGGTGGGCAGCAGGGCTGGCAGCAGTTGCTGACAGACTTGATGTTGCAGCAGCTGGACTGGCAGCAGGGTATGCAGCAGCAACTTTGGGGACAGCAAGGCTGGCAGCAGATGGACTCAGGGCAGCTGCTGGATTCACAGCAAGAGGTGTTCTTGCAGCAGGTGGTGCTGCAGCAGCTAGGCTGACAGCAAGGTGGGCAGCAGCAGAGGGTCATGGTATCAGGTGTGGAGGGTGATAGTCTGTTCACAGGTGAGTTTTCAACAGTGTAGCAAGTTCTTCCAGTCAGGGCCTTTTATACAACCGTCCTCCAACGTTTGGGCCAATCAGAAAGACTCTTCCTCTTTGTGTACCATTTCCATATTTAATTTGTGTTTTTGAAGAAGGACATTCTCACCTAATGCTCTGAATCATTTGAAAGTGTTCATTGCTTACTTGGGAATAGCTCACTTGAACTTGTTCCAATAAGTCATGGGTTCATCCCTTCAGCGCTGTTGTAACTCTCATCACCATCTGGTCCTTTGGTAGCTGCTGCCTGGATGAGAAGGTCAAGTTTAGTTTGTTCTTGAGCACTTCCTCTTCCTGTAAGTAGCCTCAGGTGACCCGTGAAGATGGTTCTCTACACACTTGACCCAGAAAACCCTACAAAATCATGCAAATCCAGAGGTTCAAATCTTTGGGTTCACTTTAAGAACACCTGTGAAACTGCCCAGGCCATCAAGGGTATGCATATCCGAAAAGCGATCAAATATCTGAAAGATGTCACTGTAAAGAAGCAATGTGTGCCTTTCTGGCGGTATAATGGTGGGGCCGGTAGGTGACCCAGGCCAAACAGTGGGGCTGGACACAGGGCTGGTGGCCTAAAAAGAGTGCTGAATTTTTGCTGCACATGCTTACGAATGCAGAGAGTAATGCTGAACTGAAGGGTTTAGATGTGGATTCTCTAGTCATTGAATACATGAAGGTGACAAAGCACCTAAGATGCGCTGAGAGACTTACAGAGTTCATGGCTGGATTAACCCATACATGAGCTCCCCCTGCCACATCGAGATGATCCTCACTGAAAAGGAACAAATTGTCCCAAAGCCAGAAGAGGAGATTGCACAGAAGAAGAAGATATCCCAGAAGAACCTGAAGAAACAAAAACTTGTGGCACGGGAATAAATTCCACATAAAAAATGCGGACCAAAAAAAAAAAAAAAAAGAAAGGCCGGACTGCCACGCTTGGCTTCAAACTGCTAGTTCTAGACAATGGTTCTCATGGTCCATATTAGATCTTTAGGACCATAGTAATGGAGCAATATGTTGTGTCCAGACTGTGGAAGGAAAGAAACCCTTAAGCCTGGCCTGTGGAACACACAGGTGG